GGACGTATGCATATGTATGTATAGGTATGCATGCATGCCTGCATGTATTCATGTACGTATGTACTGTATGTATGTATGTATGCCTGCATACATGCATGCATGTATGTATGTATGCATGCATGCATGTATGCATGTATGCATGTATGCATGTATGCATGTATGCATGGATGCATGTATGCATGTATGCATGCATGCATGTATGCATGCATGCATGTATGCATGTATGTATGTATGCATGCATGCATGCATGCATGGATGCATGTATGTATATAGGGGTATAGTTCGGTATGAAGACATGTATGCATGTACGTACGTATGCATGCCTGTCTGTCTATCTGTCTGTCTGTCTGTCTGTCTGTCTGTCTGTCTGTATGTATATATCACACTATATATTCATGCATACGGACATTTGGTAACTCGCGCGGTGGAGGTGTCACCCGTTGTATGTTACGTGATATACATGTGACTATACATCACGTATGCACACGCGCACACACACTTTTATGCTTGACCGATCTTAGCGTTTTTTTTTTTTTTTTTTTTTTTTTTTTTTTTTTTTTTTTTTTTTTTTTTTTTTTTTTTTTTTTTTTGTTTGTTGTTTTTATTCTTCTTCCTTCTTCTTTTTATGTGATTACCCTGGCGACGTACCCAACCCCTGCGCAAACGCGGGGCGCAGATAGTTTAGGACACTTCATAAAAGGGGGCGATGACGGAACGAGGGTTACATATGTCTGCAGACGGAATTCGGGACACTCGCAGGACACTGGCTACAGGACAAGGACTAGATAAAGCTGATTCGTTACAATCCCTGAGCAACCCTAGCCACTTCGAAGGCGGGGATCTCAGATCGCAGCCCCCCCTAGGGATGGCGAGGTCTAATTTGGGTCCGCGCGTGGCGACACTGTGCTGGCCCCCCCCAGCAGGCCTCGAAAGTGGCGACAGTTTCACAGATCGCAGCCCCCCAGGGATGGCGAGGTCTAACTTGAATCTGCGTGTGGCGTCACTGTGCTGGGCCCCCCAGCAGGCCTCGAAAGTGGCGACAGTTTCACAGATCGCAGCCCCCCCCAGGGATGGCGATGTCTAATTTGAATCTTCGTGTGGCGTCACTGTGCTGAGCCCCCCCCCCCAGCAGGCCTCGAAAGCGGCGACAGTTTCACAGATCGCAGCCCCCCCTAGGGATGGCGAGGTCTAATTTGGGTCCGCGGTGAGTACCCGCTGTGCTGGGCCCCCCAGCAGGCCTCGAACGTGGCGACAGTTTCACAAATCGCAGCCCCCCAGGGATGGCGAGGTCTAATTCGAGTCCGCGGTGAGTGCCCACTGTGCTGGGCCCCCCCCAGCAGGCCTCGAAAGTGGCGACAGTTTCACAGATCGCAGCCCCCCAGGATGGCGAGGTCTAATTTGAGTCCGCGGTGAGTACCCACTGTGCTGGGCCCCCCAGCAGGCCTCGAAAGTGGCGACAGTTTCACAGATCGCAGCCCCCCTGGGATGGCGAGGTCTAATTTGAGTCCGCGGTGAGGTACCCACTGTGCTGGGCCCCCAGCAGGCCTCGAAAGTGGCGACAGTTTCACAGATCGCAGCCCCCCAGGGACGGCGAGGTCTAATTTGAGTCCGCGGTGAGTGCCCACTGTGCTGGGCCCCCCAGCAGGCCTCGAAAGTAGCGACAGTTTCACAGATCGCAGCCCCCCAGGGATGGCGAGGTGTAATTTGCGTCCGCGGTGAGTACCCACTGTGCTGGGCCCCCCAGCAGGCCTCGAAAGTGGCGACAGTTTCACAGACCGCAGCCCCCCAGGGATGGCGAGGTCTAATTTGAGTCCGCGGTGAGTACCCAGTGTGCTGGGCCCCCCCCCAGCAGGCCTCGAAAGTGGCGACAGTTTCACATAGGTCTAATTTGCAGCCCCTGGGCCAGCAGGATGGCGAGGTCTAATTTGAGTCCGCGGTGAGTGCCCACTGTGCTGGGCCCCCCCAGCAACCCTCGAAAGCGGCGACAGTTTCACAGATCGCAGCCCCCCAGGGATGGCGAGGTCAAAGGCAGCGGGGAAGAGAGGGACGGGAGGGAAGGAGACGCGCGAGCAGTGCTCTATTCAAAACGAGAGCCCAATGCAGGAGGGTTGGGGTATATGAAAAAAACATAAACAGTTTTTCAATGCACCTTGACGGCCCCAGCGCGACCCAAGAAAGCGCCTAGACGGCCCAGAAGGCCCCCACGACGGCCCAAGAGGCTTTCAAAACTGCCCAAAGAGAGGGGCAATCACGGGGATACTGACATTTCGAGCCTTCCGCACGAGAGACATCAAGAACCCCTGGGGAGGCCCCTGAGGCGCCCCCAAGAAGTCCCAACAGGCCACCAGGAGACCCCCCAGAAGCCTCAAGAGGCGCTCAAAAGCCCCCCCCCCCCCAGAAGCTCCCAAGAGCCATCCAAAACCGCCACCCACAGGCATCCCAATAGACTCCCAGCATGATTTGCCTGGCTCTTTTAGGGGCTCTCGGGCATCCCCCCTTCGGCTGCCCTGGGTACTCCTCTTGGCTGCCTTGCGCACCTTCCTGGAGCATGTCTGGGCGCTTGAAAAAAAACAGCTGGGGGATTTGCCCCGAACGCGTACCTATGGAGTGAAGTTGTGCTGGACGTCGCTTTCATGAGAAGATTGAGCAGCGCAATCTGTTTGGCACCGTGTGTAGCGCAACATCTAAACGCTTCCCAGCAAGGCACAATACGGCCTTAGGAATTCCCAAGGCCGCGCCCAAAACGGCTTCGACTGACCCTGGAAGCCCTCCGATGACCTGAATCGCCCAACACTGGCCCCCAAGGTTACCAAGGGATTTCCGATGACACCTCTGAGGTAGTCCGAGGGGCTCTCGAGACGCCCAGGCGGTCTTCAAGACCGCTGAGGATGGTCCACAGGCTACAAGACTCCCGAAGCCTCCCAGCAGTTTCCTTCGGGCAGCCGCTTGGTGTAACTGCTCAGCGCAGCGGGATCTCTCGGGGCGTGCTCTTAAGCGTTACCGGACTCCTGAAGCGTCTATCAGGCAGTACGCTCCCATATGATGATCCCTGCGGAAAGGTGCCAATCCTATTCCCATCTTCTGGGCTGCTCTAGAACCGAAGCGCACACGAAGCGTGCGCGTGTGGTTCTGGTATGCAATCACATATGCACGTGTATACATACACACATTAACAGACACACGCTACCGTACACACATACATACAAACATATACACACATACATACATACATACATACATACATACACACATACATGCATACATGCATACATGCATATACTCATACATGCATACACACAAACGTACATACATTCATACACACATACATACATCCATACATACATACATACATGCACACATTCACAGATGCATGCATACATACATACACACATGCACACAGTCACACGTGCAAACATACATGCATATATACGGACATACATACATACATACACATGCATTCACACGCACATGCATGCGTACGGGCTTACGTGCATACACACATCCACATACATGCACACAGACATACGTACGTACGTACACACATACATACACGTCTACTTACTGACATACATACATGCACACATTAATAATTACATACATACATACATACATACATACATACATACATACATACATACATACATACATACATACATACATACATTATCATACATGCATACAATCATACATACATACATACATGCATGCATACATACATACATACATGTATGTATATATATATATACAAACATACGCACGTACGTGATTACGTACATGCATACAAACATACATACATACATACGTACGTACGTACATACATACATACATACCTGCGCACATACACACATACACGCATGCACGTCGATTATATTTATAGTTATGTCCATACATATATATATATACCTTAGACATGCGTGTGTATATACACATATATATATATATATATATATATGTGCACATGTGCAGCATACAGTCTATACATTTACCAATGCGTCTGTATCTAAGAATTCACGCATGTGTGTGTATGGGGGACGTGCATATACACATGTATGAATACCTATGTGTAGAGAGGTGTGGGACCCGGGAGGAGGCATCTTATAATCAGGAGGATGAAGCAGGGACGCGTTGTCATCGTGCATCCATTTTTTTGTTATTGCAGGCATACTCTTATATATGCATGTACATATATATATATATGAGAACGAGAGAGAGAGAGAGAAAGAGAGAGAGAGAGAGAAAAAGAAAGAGAGAGGCAGAGAGAGAGAGAGAGAGAGAAAGAGAGACGTGGGAGAGGAGGAGGAGGAGGAGGAGGAGGAGGAGGAGGAGGAGGAGGGAGGAGGAGGAGGAGGAGGAGGAGGAGGAGGAGGAGGAGGAGGAGGAGGAGGAGGAGGAGGAGGAGGAGAGGAGAGGAGGAGGAGGAGGAGGAGGAGGAGGAGGAGGAGGAGGGGAGCAGGACGAGGAAGTGAAGGAGGAGGGAAGGAGGTGGAGGGCGGAGGACAACGAATCGGAGCCTTACTTGCCTCTTCTTCCTCCTCCTCTTCATCTTCGCTCTCATTCTTCTTCCTCTCCCCCTCGCCCTCTCCCCTCCGCTCCTCTGCCTCTCCTCCCCCTCTTCCTCTCCCACCTCGCCCCTCTCCCCCTGCCTGCTGCTCTCTCGGCCCCCTGTTTTTTCCACAGCCGCCGTCGCCGGCGTCATCGTCGTCGTCGTCGTTGTCGTCGTCGCCGTCGTCAACGGAGTCGTCGTCAACGGAGTCGCTTCCCGCCTCCGAGGATCAAAAGAAGTCGCCACCGCCGCCGACGCGGCCGCCGCCGCTGCTGCTGCCGCTGCCGCCGCCGCCGCCGCCGCCGCCGCCGCCGTCGTCGTCGTCGTCGTCGTCGTCGTCGTCGTCGTCGTCGTCGTCGTCGTCGTCGTCCTCGTCGTCGTCGTCGTGGTCGTCGTCGTCGTCGTCGTCGTCGTAGTCGTCGTGTCGTCGTCGTCGTCATCGTTTCCCGCCCCCAAGGATCAGAAGAAGCAGAGACAGAAGAAGGACAAGGGCTCCCAGGAGGGCGAGGATCATCGAGGCCCTGGTGGCGGCCTGCGTTGTTGTCGTCGTCGCTGTCCTTCTCACCCTCTTCGTTTGTGGGCGGGAGAATGAAGATATGGAACACGCGGGGGATTTCTCCTTCCTTCTTCGCCGAGGCCGCCTTGAGTTGATGGTCGCCTTCCTCCTCTTGGCCTTGGGTCATCTTCCCTTCTCGCGTCATTTGATCGGTCGCCAGCTGCCTGGGTATATCAGGAGGGCCTTGGCCGCACAAGGACCACAAGGATTACAAGGGCGTGGAGCAGCAATAACAGGAAAATGAAAGGACAGGACGGGGAGGCGGAGGACGGTAGGGGATGAGGCGGCGGTAGCCTTTGTCCTGGTTGTCGTCTTTGCAATTGCCTGTGTCCTTCGTCATCATCGTCCTTCTACCCCTCTCCTCCTTTTCTCCTCTGAGAATCTTCCTTTTTGTTCTCATCCTCGTCCTCTTCCGCCCCTCCCCTCCTGTCGCTGTGGCAGCTGATAATCATCCGTATCTCTCCATACCCTTCCTTCCTGATTGCTCTCCTCGCCCCCCCCCCCTGGGCGCTCTCCTGCTCCTGCTACGTTTCCTCGACTAATTCTTTGCCCTCCCTTTCCTTCCGCTCTTTCTCTTTCTCTTTCTCTTTCTCCTCCTCCTCCTCCTCCTCCTCCTCCTATTGCATCTCCTCGTCTTCTTCTTTTTTTGCCCTCTCCCTCATGCACCTGCTCTTTCTACTCCTCTTACTTCTCCATCTCGTCCTCCTCTGCCTCTCCTCCCTTCCCTTGCCCCTCCTCGTCGTCCTCCTCCCCCCCCTCCGCCACAAGCCATAATTACTCACTGCGAATACTAGAGTCGCGCGCTTTTTTTTCACACGATAGGCCCGCGCTGGGTTTTCTTACGTTCCCCGACCAGTGTTTCCGCTTTGGGGTTTTTATTTCTTTTGTAAGGAACTGGGCCTGACGGCCGGTCTGGCGGCTGTGTGGCCGCCCCCGTCGCCGCCTCGTCGCCGTCCGTCGTCTGGGCTTGACGGCCAGTTTGGTGGCTATCGTGCCGCTGTCGCCGCCCCGTCGCCGTCTCGCCGTCGCCCGTCGTCTGTCTCTCAACCCCTCCTCCCCTGATTGCTCGCTCCCATATCCTGAGCCCCACTCGCCCGTGGCTGCACCACGGCGGACGCGCCAAAGCGCGCCCAAACTACATTAAACGGATGCGCCACTGGCGCCGACGCGCAACGTGCGAACCAAACCCCTGGCGCGAGGCCACAACGCGGACAGGTTGCCCTCTGGCGCGGCGCGCCTGTAAGACCAGAGAAAAAAAGCACGCGTGGTTTTTTTACTTCTTCAAAACTTCTGGCCACGCCTTCGACCACTTTTGCAATTGCACGGCATGGCTGGCTGATGTAAACAATGACGGACGAAATTGGCTACTGCAGACATCCAGCCACACTGGGTAACTGCAGGGGCGGCCCGCCCCCCGCGCGCTACAGTCCCTACGCGGTCGGCCAATTAGGCGTTTAAGAACCGCCATGGTGCACGCAGCCAGCCAGATCGTGCAATCGTGCCCCCTCTTCTTCCTCGCCCCTCGTCGTCCTCGTTGCAGTTTCCTCCGTGCCCCCCCCCCCCCCCGCCCCATAACATGATGCTCTTTCTCCTCGGTGAATATACGCGAGCGCGGGGTGTCTGTGAGTGAGATCGATACCGAGATCGATAGTGAGATCGAGACTGTGCCCCGTTGTGTCCCGTGGCTTTCCAAAATGCGCGATCGATCGCGCGATCGACCGTTGTCCCGTCTCGGCACGTGCGAAAAAATCGTGTGGCGCAAGGTGACCACGCGGACATATTGCCCCCCTGGCGCGGCACGCCCGTGAGGCCAAATAATAAACCACGCGTTTTTTTTTTTTTTTTTTTTTTTTTTTTTTTTTTTTTTTTTTTTTTTTTTTTTTTTTTTTTTTTTTTTTTTTTTTTATATATATATATATATATAAATATATATATATATATATATATATATATATATATATAATATATATACTGGTTTCAATATTTCCCCCGACCCCATCGCCCCTGCGTCCATCCGTCTACATTGATGATGCGCCCGCCGCTGGCTCTGGGCAACACAACTTCCCGACGTATGCGTGAAGGTTGGGGGAAGCTAACCGATAACGCGGCGCCTTTTTGAGACACCGGATATGAGCGCACCACGAGCAACAATCACTCCGCAACCACAGACATCACAAGATGTGCATTCTTCACACTTTTCCGAATCGCTTCATCCGCTTGTCGCCCGCGTCGGTCAAGTCCTCGGCCCTCCTCTTGGCTGACATGGCGGCCTCTTGGGCCGAAGCGACCATCCCTAACATGAGTTCACCGCGAGCCTGTTGGCGGGCCGCCGTCCAGCTGGACGTGAATTATCGATCAAGCTTGTTGATGGTGGCGCCGATCGCTTGTGCGTTCAAGACCCTTTCGAACAAAAACAACAAGCACTGATGAGCCTAGACGGGGGACGCCCGTACATATACATGCGAAGGCGTATGTATAAATTTGCAGTCCAATCGACCCATGCATTTATGTAGCATGATTTTATGCATCGCGGGGGGGCGCCCCGAAATCACAATAGTAAACATGTTACATTCCATTTAGTAGCCCTCGTTCATATCTGCTCATGGTTGGCCACTGGACGCGCCGCTGGTCCATGCTGAGTGGTTGGGCTGCACAAGGTGACACATCGTAGCCCTCGCCGTCGTAGCCTTTGCCATCGTCGTCGTCAACGTAGTAGCCCTTGCCGTCGTAGAAGCCCTTGCAATCGTCGTAGTCACCCTTGCCGTCGTCGTAGCCCCTGCCACCGTCGTAGCCCTTGTCGCCGGAGTAGCCCCTGCCACCGTAGTAGCCCTGCAAGCGAACACAGCTGAGCAGCGTACTGGCCAAATGCACGAGCTGAAACCCTTCCGATTTATCAATTATACATACTATGCTCTTCCTGAAAATCTCATCCATTCCATCCCACGTCCCTGCCATAACATGCCACAGCTGGGGGATCTCTGTCATGGGATGATTCTCCCACCCTGATAGTGTAGCGAGATGAGCGGGAAGTGCATGTGCCACATGTCCTTCCCAGTATGATATGAAACCCATAAGACAGTTCAAATCATAAACGTTGGGGTTCAGGTGTAGTCTTCCGTCTGTGCTATGCCTCGCACACCACATATACCAATGCTCATCGCAAATGGACGATGTCCCCCTTCGCAGAGAATGCGGTTGTAAATACTTTACGAATTCCACGGCAGCCATGCGAATAACGCTGCTCGGAAAGGGCGGCATTTGGTGTTAACGGGCCTGGATCCCGCGACTTCGGAGGGAAAGGTGGCGCGCGGTGCACCTTTATACCAACTGGCAAGCAGGCCCGAGCAGGACCTTTCCCCTAATTCTTGAGCACAAACAGCAACATACGGATGCGCAGGGAACACACGGTCACCTTCACAACCAAACAACCGTGTGCATGACATCGTTGGACGCACGCAGGACAGCAGTGGGTCCACAGCACCTCCGCGTGAAACACAGTTGTGGTCATGACAAGCAAGGGGCCGCTCTGGTAAAACTTCGGCTGTCTTCTCGGGCAGGGCCCCGCTTACCATAGATGGGTATTACGGGGACCCTTTCGTTACTTCGTGTACCTTTCTTTCTTTACCGTGGTGTACATGGCCTCGAATTCATCACCAGCATGCACTGGCACCCTCGGGAGTACCTCGGGAAGGGGCTCATGAAGAGCATTCCTTAATGTGATACGCGGCAACAATTATGGGGCGTGCGATTCCTCTGCGTATCGGGCCTAGGCGACACGCTACGCTGGATCTTACAGGCCCAATTCAATGCAAGGCCCCACGAACCCTGCCCCTTTGGGGCTGGACAAGTCGACACCGTGCTTCTGTACAGTAGCGCAGGCGGTACTATCCTGCAGTGATGCGTCTTAGAAGAGCATGAGCCCCGTGTTACTCAGCCCCTTTTCCCTCTCTCGACCCCTCCTTCCCTGATTGCTCCAATGTCCTGAGCTCCACTCGCCCATGGCTGCGCCGCGGCCGACGCGCCAAAGCGCGCCGGCAGCTACATTAAACGGATGCGCCACTGTCGCCGACTCGCCACGAGCGGCGGGGAAACGAACAAAAAAACTCCTGGGAACAAACAAATGGGGGCCTACTAACGGGACGCCCGTACATATACATGCAAATTAGAGGTTATATACGTACCTTTCAATGAAGCCCATGCATTTCTGGTTCTCATGACTGTCAGGCATCGCAGGGGGACGTCACGAAATCACAATAAGGATCTAATTTAACTTGCACCTACCAGCCCTCAATTGTGCGTGCTCATAGCTGACCACCCGACGTGGTGCTGCTCGGTGCGGGGTGGTCGGGCCGCGCAAGGTGGCGGGCGACAGTGCCTCTGGGCGGCGGGGGGGGGTTCAGCCGCGGCTTTTTCGCATCTTGTTCCTGTTCAGGATTCCAAGCCCGATCAGACACATCCAACACAACCCTCGTCTTCATCTTCGAATAGTGTATCTTGCCGCTCCCAAGTCCGGCTGCGTTGTCCCTCACCAAATCCTGGAACGTCTTCAGCGCATAAAAATCAATACCCAGCTTGGAAAAGCCGTCAACCAAAATGTGTGAGTGCAAATGGAGAATTCCTGTACATGATTTCGGACATAGTTAACGGACCTGTACGACGAAGAACACCGATCTTGCCAACTAACTCTTTGCAACCCTGACGGAACTTCTCTGGATAGGCTCGAATGTTTTCATTGACACCCACAATCACTTTCCACATGAGGGAGTGCCCCTTCGCGGCGCATAGGAATCCATTGCATATCTCACCCCGTTTCAGAAGCGAAGAACAATCCAACTTGCCATCCCACAGGTTAGTCTTTCCACCCCAGGTCGCTAAAACAAGGGGAGGCACTGGTTGCGGCAGCATGCCCAGCATCTGTGTCCAGCCACCTGGCAAATTCATAGTAGCTTTGTGATCTGTCCA